TTGTAGGGACCAACCATGCAAAAATAATGCATTTTTTCGGATGCGCAATCAATTTGTACGTCTGGCTGTCTGTTTCCCAGAGACTGTACGAGTTAGCAATGATATTCATTTTCAAACTAACACATAACTTGCTTCCAACTTATTTTGAAGAATTCTGTATATATATAAATCTCAAATCCATAATCACTTAACAAGAGCGAGTAGCTCCCAAAAATTCCACCTTCTTCGAACTAATTTGACTAGTACGATGAAGTCTTTACTTTATAAAAGTATGAATGAGTAGAACAAACTCCCACTTTCGTTGAAAGATTCAATAAATGTTTTCCAATTCGAAAAAAAACTCATGAACTATATAAAATATCATACTTGATTTTCTTTTTTCTGTTTGGTAATATATTTATTATGTTTTTGGGAAAGAAAGTTTTTGGCTTTCTACTACTCCATCTTAATACAAAAAAAAAGGATGAGGGATTCTTCCAAAGAAAGGAAGGAAGTAATCAATTTGAAAATAAGTAACTTTATTAAAAGAATTCCATAAAATGACACAAACTAATGAAAACGAAGCCATGTGGCTACTGCTGATTAAAATCAAACGTTAACTGGTTTATCTTTCTTCATCTTCCTTTTTCACTTGTAAAAGAAAATAATGCTTCATGAAAGTATGTGTTTTATTGTGTATTTTATTGATGGTACATGTGTATTCTTTTATCGTCCCAACTGTGGATCAAATGGTACTTGTTCAACTATTCTGTTCTATCTTCTGCTTTCGTCACTTCTTGACTGAGGCGTGAAAATGCCATTTAAAAAAATATCCAATTAATACTCTGAACATACAGAACAATAGAGATGGTTTAGTCAATCTGTTTGGATCGTTCGTTTCACTAAAAACTCAACACTGAATGGTAATGGGCTTGAGACACTCTGAGGTGAAACTGATCCGCAGAGAAATCAATTGTGAAAATCCGCAAAAACCAAAAAAAGCAACAAAAGCCCGAAGATACTGAACATACGCAGATTTTGCGCATTTTTCAGCTTGTTGGCAACACTGTTCGCGAATGCATTCGCCGAGCTCGTAACAAGGATATTTCTGCAACTCACGTTGCCAAGTCTCCGGAACGAAGCCGTTATTTATAATAACGAGCTAGCTAAATTTAAATGCCGGATAAATATATAGCAAAAGGAAGCGTCGGTTGTGTTCCTTTTGGTGTTCGAGAGGGACTCTAGAAAACGTGTTTTTAATTAGTGTCTGGAATGGACAGGAATAGCAATCTGGCAAGAAGGCCGAGTACAGAAATAATCAGCACGATTTATTTTACTAAGAAAAATGAACTAGCGACCCGGCACGGGCAGCAGAACATTTTTTTTTTGTTAATATACATTATCAATAATATACATTTGATAAAATTAACTCAAACAAGTAGGTAAGCTCACAACTATCAATTTTAATTTTGAAATTAATAAGTACCTATCGAAGACAACACGAGAAAAACTTTCGTAGTAATTCACAAAGCGAAACGAACCTAATTGAAATAATTTTTCATCGTACAATAAACTCATCTCTGAAATAAGTTCGTCCATTGGTAAAAACTGTATGGAAATGCACTATTTGAAGGTAGATTATAAAAAAATATATAAATTGTTATCAGTGTTAGTGGTATAACATTCATAGTGTCCGTCTTATATTTCGTAGTATATTTATGAAGTTTTCCGAGTGTATTGAAGAAAATGTTCAGCCATTTGAATTTCTGTGGATGCTCTCCAAAAAAAAATTACAATGGATGTAGTATAGTCCCAATTGAAACAAATCCATATTGCATTAACCCTCCTCATTAATTTTTACATCAAAGAACGCGTTGGGTCAGATATACCCAAAAGAAGAAAAATAAAATTTTCTAAATGATAAGGTGTTACATACGCCATTTCTATGGACAAATAGTTATGAAAAGAACGGGAAACAATTTCCTATTTTTAAAACAAAAAAAAAATTTAATTAAAATAAAAAGGTATGCATTTTTGGTATCGTTGCACCAAACATCATGTATAACAATTATTCCAAAAAGTTTGCCGTACATGCTTGACAAACAGATACAGAATGTTCTAGGCATATATATTTTTTACAAAACCGGCATGTACCTATATCTTGTTTTCCGATCTTTACAGAAGGCACATCTTCCACGTTTATTTTGTTGAATTTCGACTTGCTCAACCAACACAGTAGCACTAATTCTAGCTGCAAACTGTCGAATTTCTCTTGGCAGATATTTGAATTACTTCTTTGTATAACCATGGCGTTTATACCATCAATATTGAGGAGCCCATATATAACTACCATGGGCCACCTACGTGTATTTCTCGAAACATTATATTTTGCACAAAGTTGGTCAACTGTATCAACTCCGCCTTTGGTCGAATTGTAATTCTTCAATAGAAGAATCATCATGATGAAGGGTTGATAATAAAATAACCTGCTTATTTTTTTTCGGTATATATGAAACGATAGTCATATCTTCTGTAAAACATGCTCGAGTTTTCTGGTCGTTAATTAAAAAATCATTGGAAATTTGCCTCTTTGCTCTCATAGTTTTCTAACGAACGCACATCTAGTGGGCGGGACCATAACGGAATTCAGAAAGCTCTTCCTACATTTGACAAGCTGTAGCACATTACATTTTTCAAAGTCATTAGTGCCAACTGTTACGTTTTGTTTGGAGTGTCTACACGGCAGAAAGGTACTGGATACAGCCTGTAAAATCGTCAGGAGTTCGGATCCCCTTCTCTGCATGGTCCGTGACCATGAGAGAGCAGGAATTAGAGTATTTTTCTTTAGGGCAGCTGCCCGAGCAGCTGATGAACTCGGTATAGTTTTCGACACTGAACGAGGTGACCTCAACTCTGTCACCGAGTTGGAACCTGTTCAGCAAAAAGCTCAGATAAAAGACGCAGACATCACTTTACTTCTGCGGAGACACACAGATAAGCCAATGCATGAGGCCTTCTTCAATAACATCGGAGACCTTGGCTTATCAAAGCGCCTGACGTTCGCTTTTCTCAGGTCGAGTGGGCTGAAGTCATCATGACTTGTCAGGATGGTGTCTTCAACACCTTAGTCTACCGCAGTCGTGTGATGGGTATGGAGGTTCCTGACATAAGGTGCAGGGCCTGCCGCGAGGCGCCCGAGACCCTAATGCACTTGCTATCAGCATTTCCAGCATATGCGGTCTCGGCCTATATCCATCGACATAACGCGGCCCTTAGTGTGCTATATTACCATCTACGGCACTCTTACGGTATTGACGAGACACCGGTGTTGCCCTACACTTCGGTGGACATTGAATTCATTGTGGGGAACGAGAAGTGCCGAACTTATTGGAAGTATCCGTTCCCCACCCTCAGGCACATACAAGCTAATAAGCCTGATGTAGTCCTTCTCGACCACCAGAGCAAGACGATATTTGTCGTGGAGTTTTCAGCTCCTGGCGAGACGAATATCGTCCTAAAAGACGAGGAGAACCGGATAAAATATCAGGATTTTCTCTTCGAACTCCGCAGACTCTATCCAGATCACTCTGTCAAGATGGTTGCTCTGATTATTGGAGTCCTTGTTGGAATGATGTCCTTTCTACTCTCGAATCTTAAAATCATACCGGATTGCCGCACTAAGGCAGAAATCTTAGCCGCACAGATGCAGAAGGCTGTCATTCTTGGCTCACTCCGCTTGCTCAGGGCACATGATTATCTTACCCAATGATCAGTTACCCTATGGTGTGGGGAGTGGTCGTTGGTTGATAATACCCGAATGTATTGGGGCTTCGGGGGATAGGGCCTGACCAGCGCATACTTCGGTAAAAAAAGTAATAATAATAATAATAATAAAACGTCTTTATTCATCTTAAGTAAGAATATACAGAATATACCAAAAAATATTGAGGCGAATGGGCGGAGTGTCAGCAAAGCTGTTTTCAAATTCAACCTTAAACAACCTTAAACTACCAAAAGAAGTTATTTTCGTGACAGTAGTTGTTTCGAAACGGGTTTTTCTCCCAGTTTGCGTCTTTCAATACTGTAAATACTATGCACGTCTTTCCAAAGAGTTTTCATTGCAGTGATTTTGTTTCTTCATTTCATTTCTTTCTAACACAGCTAGTGTTGCCAGGTCATTTTCATGTTTCGAAGTAGATTTCGTTTCAGAAAACCAGCTGATTGATACAAAAAATAATAAAAAGTATATCTCATAGTTACATAGTACCTACATACAGGGTAATTTCCACTATTGACAGTATTTCAAAACTCAAAAATGAGATTCACTGCAAAAACAATAGGCCTGGTAACACTGAACACGGCGCTTCTCTCGTGCGATTTCTTCTTTATCTGCATGTAACTTCTTTTCATTTAGCTTTTTTCTCTGTGTTAGTAATCACACGTTAAAAGGTAAGACCTCGTTAGTCCTTAGCTCGCACAAGTTTCTCAACTTCTGAGAGTTGCCGTTCGTATGGGGGCGACAGCTGATTAAAGGAGAAACAGATTTCACAGACATATTTTCAAAGCCTTTTTCTCTCAATTTTTTGAATGTTTCAATAGTTATTCTTCTATTTCGGACAAATACACATCAAACAAAATGAAAAATCGTGTAAATCGGCTCAGCCATTCTTGAGTTTCAAATAATGGTGTCTGAATTTTGTGACTTTGTTTCATATTAGATATGATATGTCTATATANAAAAATTATTGCCATTTTTAAAAATATCCCTAGACTTTTCCGATGTGTGTACATATGTATTTGAAAATATCCCAAATTGTCATAGACAGTTTCTGAAAACCTAAATGGTTTTGATATTGCCGATGGTATCATACATGTTTCAGTGATCTTTGTAAAATTTTGTAGCCTTTTCAGCCACAAATCATTATTATTATTTGAATTGATGACATCCCCTTGGCTTAATGCGCCTAAATGGAAGCACACGCCAAAACCATAGAGAGAGAGATGAGATCCCCAGTTACTATTTGTCTAATATTAATTTTGGAAGATATTCCTCGAACGTCCTTAATTTTGCTACAAAAGCTAACGAAATTATTTTGCGTGCGTCCTTGGTCGTACCGAAAAGGTATTCGTTGCCTGAAAAACAGCCGTGCGTTCGTATCTGGGACCGGCGAACCACGCAAAAAGTGTAGAAATTTGCAAAAAGCGGTTCGGCGTGTCCACCGCAAGGCGACACAGCGTTGGCGCCAATCAGTACCACCGTCTCTGTGCAGGTCGTACCGCCTTCTGGGAATTCCAACGCTTTCTCGCCAACGCCGCCGAGATGTTTCAACGCCCAGTCGAATCCACCAACTTGTTGCTCGAAGACGTCGCTTGCCGCCCGTGCCGCTCGAAGAAGTCGCCCTCCGGCGATACCATGGATTACGATACGCGGCTGATCGAGGAGGTGAAGAACTACCCCGCTCTCTACGATAATAGTCACAAGGATTTCAAGAACAAGGAAGTCAAGCAGGTCATCTGGTGCGACATCACGTTCAGGCTGAGGAAGCAGTGTGACGAGAAGTCAGGTTAGTTGTAGTTTGCGAAAAATTTGGTTTTTTTAGAATAACGGTCATCTTTGGCAGCCGAGAACAGGTGGCTTATCGACATGAGGGACTGATGACCTAACGTATTTGATTTTATATTATTAATGATTTGTCTGTCTATTATATTCGCATTAATTTAACATAATTCAAGAAAAACTGAGGGCAATTTCACACTGCTAGAAGAGAATACCTCTCCACTCACAAGAGATTTTCGTAAAATCGGTGACCTTCGTGATTCATTGTAAATAGGTATCTACAGTATGCCCTGCATAGTCGAAGTAACTGATATAGTAATTATTAAAGCTATCGGCGAACTCAAAGGTCAAAAAAAAAACAATACAAAGAAATAATGTCGCTACGAATCAGTCCACGTGGACTGAAGGACTGGCGGTTCGTATTGGATAATTTTTACTAACCGAGTTTTATGATTGGCTGAAGAGTCATAAAATTAAATATGAAGAATATAGCGATGAGTACCGTCGTTCGTCAATGTTCAGTTCAGGAACTGATCGCGATTTGACTGTTGAAATTCGATATTGGTGCAGTTATAATTACTTAAAATTTTTGTTATCTGTTTAAAATGTGGCGTTCTCGGACAAGTACTAATAGTAATAACGAGTGTGATAACAACGCAGACTTTTTCCTGTGATTCCAATAGCGCTGGTGAACAATGCGAAAAAGATATACCAGTGAATAAGATTCGGATGCATTTGAATATTGAATATGTTTCAATATATCTAAGAATCTATATATCAAGTTTGGTTTCTAGGAAAAAAAACTATCACAAGCAACAACAACTGTACATAAAATAGTCAAAAACAAACCTTATAAACGCAAGACGCGATGTGATGCGGGATTACCAAAACCTTCAGATGTTTATCTAATAAAATCATTAAAAAACAATATACGACTGTTACAAAAGCAATGAGATTCTTACAACTGAAATCATAAGGAAGAAATTGATTACTTCCGGCCATAACGTGAGCTGCTGTGACAAAACTCTTCATAATTGGATAAAGAAGCTAGGATTTAGATTTAAAATAATAAACAAACGTCAAGCAGTTATGTTAAGCAGAAGAACAGTGGAATTGCGTATCAAATACTTAGAACAAATAACTAAATATAGACAAGAACAACGGCAAATTTTCTATTTTGACGAAACTTGGTATAACATTCATGACACAGTTACGAAAGGGTGGACTAATGGTTCGAAAATGTGTACGCCTGACATGTCTGTAAATAAAAGATCACGACTAATCATTGTGCATTGCGGAGGAAGTAAAGGATGGGTTCCAAATAATTTCAAAGAAATTATGAGGACTGTGATGTTGACTCTCATAAGAACATGGAAGCTAATATTTTTGAGGAATGGTTTGAAAACACATTGGTCCCAAATTTGGATGCGAATAGTGTAATAGTTCTTGGCAACGCTTCCTATTATTCGCGACAGCTCATCAAAGTACCGAATAAAAATTCGAGGAAAGATGAAATACAAAGATTTTTAATGGATAACAATTTGTATTTTGAAGATACCATACCAAAAACCAACTACTTCAAGTTTTACAGACAAAAAATTTTGAAAAAGTGTATGCCCTTGAGAGTATTGCTGAAAAGTATGGACACACCATATTGAGACTTCTCCCCTTTTTTTGTGTTTTCAATCCCATCGAGTTGATTTGGAATAAATTGAAACAAAGCATCAGACGTAAAAATAATTTTCCAAAATTTGATAAGAAGGTGCGGGAGCTAGTTGAATAAGAAGTGTCTAATATTACCGAAGAAGACTGGCAGAAAAGGATTAAAAAAGTAATTTTATAAATTTCGACCTTCATCTCGTAATTTCGAAATTACGACTTCAAACTCGAAATTTCGACTTTCATCTCGAAATTTTGACTTTAATTTCGAAATTTCGACTTTCATCTCGAAATTTAATTTTGGACTCAAAATTTCGACTTTTATCTCGAAATTTCGACCTTAATCTCGTAATTTCGAAATTACGACTTCAAACTCGAAATTTCGACTTTATTCTCGAAATTTTGACTTTAATTTCAAAATTTCGACTTTTATCTGGAAATTTCGACCTTAATCTCGTAATTTCGAAATTACGACTTCAAACTCGAAATTTCGACCTTATTCTCGAAATTTTGACTTTAATTTCGAAATTTCGACTTTCATCTCGAAATTTCATTTTGAACGCAAAATTTCGACTTTAATCTCATAATTTCGAAATTACGAGTTCAAACTCGAAATTTCGAGATTAAAGTCGAAATTTCGAAATTAATGTCGAAATTTCGAGTTTGAAGTCGTAATTTCGAAATTACGAGATTAAAGTCGAAATTTCGAGATGAAAGTCGTAATTTTGAGATTAAAGTCGAAATTGCGAGATAAAAGTCGAAATTTCGAGATTCAAAGTCGTAATTTCCAAGAAACGAATAATAAAAATATGTGGCCCTTCTGCGCTTCCGTGAAAATGATACCTTTTTACAAAAGTTCATCAACTTTTTCAAAAGCACTGTATACGTTGGTTTTTCATCTTGATCCTGAGTTTCTTCTCTGGTAAAAGAATCGAATCATTGTGATAATATCTCCAATGTAGATTTTAACAATCCGACGAAATCATCCACATACATGTAGTTGACCATCCTTGAATTTTGGCGAAGATTAGTTCAGGTTTCTCTGTGATTCTGTTCACGTAAAACAAATCGAAGAAAGTTTGGGGCGTCATCGATCCGCTCTAGCTCTTTCGATTCCGAAGATATACGGGAAAAACTGGAAAATTCTAACTTGTAGTTTCGGCTGCATCTTTCCATTCGGCGCAGAGAATAAAATCTGTTTGAATTTTGCCACAGGAACCTTCAATGAATCGTAAAAACATTCATGGAATTGTTGTATAGGCTGTTTATATGACTTGTATGTCACCCTCACCTTTGGAACTTTAAATATGAACGTGAGTTTTTTGATCAGCAATAACCACACAATATCAGGAAAACACAATTGCGATAATCCTAAGTTTTCACATAAGTTTCGTTTCTAATTTAATCAAAACCCTGTATAAAGTGATGGGTATTTCGCCATTTATGTCATGAATACTCAGTATTATAGAGCTACGAAGAAGAGTTCAATTATATTCGGTAAAATTACTTTACTTCAACCCTCTGCCGCAAGCCACTGTACTGATAAAACTTCGTAGTATTATTATTGTGTAATTTTTCTCAGTTTTTATCTGAACTTTTTTTGCTCAATTAATCACTCTCGATATGTAATGCGTAAATGAACTTTGGTTAAAAAAATAATCACCATAAAAATCGAATACTGATTTGTTTCTCAAACGCAATTGAATGTTGATATATTTTCTAATACGTAAATGGACGTTGATAACTGCGATTTATAATTTAATTTTTTTCAAAGGGAAACTTTGACTTTTAAACGTTAAGGTTATATGACGATTATGAATATATCTATAAAAAGTCTGTAAGTAAATAAAATAAATGATATGATGTAATTTCAACAATTTTCTCAAAACCTTGACATTTGTTAGAACTTTGTGTGCTTTTTTTTGGTCTTGGCTCTCCTGGGCTCTTCGATTGGACTTTGATTTCGATGTCATAACCATACACCCATGATTCGTCACCAGTTGCTTTCAAGCAAATCTGGATCACCTTAGACGTCATTCAACAATTTAATGCTCATGCGACGCTTTTTTGGTCAAAATTCGGCGGTTTTGGACCGAACTTTGCTGCTGCACGCTCCATGCCAAAACTTTTCGATACAATTCTCCATAACAATTTTCCTCACTTTCCCAAAATTTTCATCATTTGTTGATGTGCTGGCTTGTACCAGTTGGAAACATTTTTCTGACGCAGAGTACAATCACCGTATGCCACTGTCAACATTTCAAGTGTTTTTGAGCACTAAATTCAATTTTATACACAAAATTTGATGGCAATTCTTTAATACTTTTTTTATAACAGTCCAAGTATAATATATTTTAAGAAAATGGGTAATATTTCCATTAGGGAGTTTGAAGAAGTTTTGCAAGTAGTTTTGGATGAAAAAAACATCGGAATTATTTTTTTCCATACCAATGTTAGAAGGTAACATTTACACTGCCTGAAAAAGAGTAAGAACTCAAATTTATGAAGCAAACAAGTTATTGTGACTCGAAATGAAAATGAATTAATAAAAGGGGTAACAATAGGTGAAATGTCAAATATATACAAACAACAAAAAACAAATGTAAATAAAATCATCGAGATAAGTGAAAAAATGAAATTAAAAGCACCAAAGATTTCAAACCACGTTGCTTCTCGAAGTTTCGATTATTAACACATATAATCGTCTTCTGATGATAACGGGAATATTCCTGATGATCGAGACTATTTATAGGTAACTCGGGCGCTTTCACTGCTCCTCACTATCCTCTCCCTCTGCTGAATGCAACGTTTTTGAACATATACGCAGCTTCTTTGAACTTTCTGTTGAACCAGTATTTTTTCCTGTGGATGATTTCTGCTTCGGATCAGTTGATGTTATACTATCTAATTTCTCGATACAATGAAGTCATTTTGAAAAAATAACAGGTAAAAAAGGGGGGCGGTGATTTATTTGATCCCCTTTACCATTGAGGAATTCATGGGAGCTCGCAAAGAGGTAAAGTTTTGGCTGTGCAATTATTGACGTGTTCTTTGAAACTTCCGATTGCACATCCGTTTCTAAGGGGGATTCAAGTATCCGATTGAAGGCCATGTATTATTGATCGACTCCTTGATATATTCAGCATTTATCAGGGAAATACTGTTGTCGAAACTAAGGTGAATATTATCTTACTACGTGTACTACGTGAAGTAATAGTGTTATAGAAGTTGAAATGATATTAAACAATTGTGACTTCACTCCGGATGTTTTGACTTGGATCTTAATTTTTTTTTCTAGTAAGGACTGTGAGGATGCGCTGGAAGAGCCTGCGGGACTCGTACGTCAAAGAAACCAAATACAAAATGGCGGTCAGCAGCGGCCAGAACGTCAAACCGAGAAGAAACTGGCGCTACAGCAGCGCCATGCAGTTCCTTGCGCCTTTCCTTTCCCTCAGCTTCCCCGTGGTCGCCACCAAAGAAGAAGTTTTAGAGGAATCGGAAGACATGAAGGCTGACGACCAACAACAGGTGTCGACCTATTTCCTCAACGTGAACCCAGCACCAGCCACAAACGCCGCCCATTTTTTGGGCGCGCTCCTGGACTACTCCAGACACCATGCGATGGGGGATACCGTTCGACCAGCCGAAAACGAAATCGATTCGTTTTTTAGGGGGGTGGCCGATACGGTGAAGAAACTCAGCCCCGTCAATCAGGTCAGGATCCAGAGGGACATCGTGAATATGGTGCTGGACGTGAAGCTGAGGGAGGTCCAAGGCACGCTTAGGGATTAGAATGTGGGTTAGGGATGATAGTCCAGGGGCCACCGTTATTTTTGTTCGAGGTTGGCTCGGTTGTACCAATTTTTGTTTGAATCGATGGAATGGAATTGTGGCTGTTTAGCCCTCACCATCTGACTTGTCTAGGATTGCAACTGGGTTTGATACTTTCAATGTTCTTATTCAAGAAACACTTTATTTTCACTACACAGTTTTACATAAACGCAACACATTAGCTTCTTCAAAAACTATTGTATAGCGCCTGAAGAAGCTATTGTATAGCGAAACATGTGTTGCGTTTTTGTAAAACTATTCAGTAAGTTTTTCTTGAATACGTAATGGATTTTTATCAAGTATCAGCTGATTCCATCATATTCTTATTTTTTATTGTTTTCAAATTGGCAACTTAAGTAGTCGTTAGTATTTCGAGAAATGTCAAATGACAACAACGTAATTTTTCTACAAAGAATAAGTATACGACATTCAACTTAGTCAACTTTTTTACCGTATAGTAAAAAAGGTGCATAAAAAATCAGTCCGCAATCAAAATAAATTTGATATTGAATGTAACTAGTATACTTTTTTCAACAGTCAAACTGAGAATGGAAGATCCAAGACAGTCCTGTTAATTACACTTAGGCGCGATTTTGAGGTTGGAGATATTGAAGATTATAATATTTTTTTTTAAATAACTTCTTAAGAGTACTAATTTTCAAATAACCGTTCGATATAAAAGTCGTGAAGTCAAAGAGGTAAACTTCATTTAGCTTTTTACCCTTTTTCTAACTCCATAGAAGGATTGGAAACTGTAAAATTACTCAACAGCTTGAAAGAGCAGACCATAAAACTTTCAGTAAATTTATTTTTTGCCGAACTTTAATAAAAATACAGTATTAACTCTACTTTTATGAGTCGACAAACGATTTTTTCAGAATTTTTGTTTTGCAAACTGCAGGACTATTATGTTCGTAAATACAGCACATTGAAAGAAACTTTAAACTGTTCAAAATGAACATGTTTTTTTTTCGAAGTTAAGCTGTTGGTTTTTCGATTTTTTCAAACAATCCATGAATGAGAAAAGAATATTCAAAGCATATTTAATGGGATAATATTGGTTTACCAACAAAAAAATCCTCAAGGTTTTTTTGAAAAATAATTTGTTACCTTGAGACAGTAGAATTCTTTTGTATATCACATCAGTTTTCGCGTTCGGTGTTAGTTGCTCAATATATTGAATAAAATACATGATTATATGTAATACAAATGATAATAATGATGATATTAATATTGCCGAACATTTCTATGGGTATTTTAAAGTCTATGAAAGTATTAAAATATTTTATATTCCAGTGTATAATTTAAAAATTATTTCGATTTCAATCAGAATCAAGGTAAATTATAAAATCCTTACTGGATGATATTTGACATTTGAAAGTGTTATATTTCCTGATTTCTTTCAGATATGCTTGTAAGACATTAAACAATTTGGCACTTAAAATTCACTTATTCGCTTGTATCTCGTGCCATAAGTATTGTTGACAGGTTTCAACTTTATTTAGTCCTTGACAAAAGTGTCTTATGTCAAGGACTTATTTTGTAGAGTTCATTGGTAGAGGATAATTTTTTTTCTGTTACAAATTTACTTTATTATTTTCTGCCATGGTACTTCTACTCTTTCATTTGTTTGAGGAGCAGAGCAGAGCAAAGTTATGGCAAATAAGCTGACAAATTGCCGAATACCATGTTTGCCCATTTTCAAAATATTTGTATGCTGTTAGGCTGAGAGGTATTTTCTATCGATATTGACACTTCTCCTTATGATAGAAGAATTACGTTGTTGTTGAACCTTCAACAAACACCAGAAAAATATAACTTTGATAATTACAAAATAATATTGTAGTAATTAAATTGAAGAGAATAACACAGATGCTAATTTCGAACAAAAATATAGAAGCTATCCCCCGGATTATAATTTGGTGATATTAGGTGGTAGCAAAAGTGATGTGATCTTGCCGATTTTTTTTAGCCAGAAGGGCTTCTGACTTTTCGACCACGTGAAGAAACATTTCAAGAAAAATGGAATTTGTGAAGGTATTTGAGTTTTCATTATTCTAAGAGTTAATTTCAGTGAGAATATAACCGTTCATTATTTTATGTTATGTTATGAGAAAATTTGAACAATACTTCAATATTGAAAATATAGAATGGCGTGTTTTTGATTTAGTTTATTTTTATGTATTGAAAATTTCGTATGAAATAAACATGTTATAGAAGCATTATGGAACAAACCCGTCTCACTTATTCATTAATCAAAAAATCATTATACAAAATATTGAATTTATTTATGGTTATACAAGAAACTTAGGTTAAGATATATCGGTACAGGAACAAGTTCTGATTGTTAATAAATAATTTTGTAATGCGCAATCGATCATAATAAAGAGTGAGTTTTGATTCAAGATGACAACATTTCATCGCAAAAGTGTTTTTCTTTGGGTGAAAATGGATGAACTATCACCCGAGAAATGTACGTATTTTTTTCACTTTCCAATATCTGTAAATTTCAAAAAGATTATGAACGTTTTCTGATCAGTATTGGAATAGTCGGTTGAAAAGAAAATGTAATTCTTATCAAAATAATAATAATTACAAGCGATTTTGGAGTTATATCGGTAATCCTCAAAAATATAGAACTACTCAAAAACGGTATCATTGACTGATAAAGTAATAAATAATAACCCGCATATGGTGTTTTTGATCGATAAGCTTATCGGTCGTTAACAATTATTCAGTTTTTTGTTTAACGATCTTCGATTATTTCGTTCCACAAATATGTTATTTTAGAATATTTAGACAGAATTGTTATTCAGGTTACGTTTTGAATAAATATTTTTTGATGAACCGTGTTTTTTTGCAAAAACCTTTTCAAATACGGTCAGAATCCCATGAAACTCCTCAGGTTTTTTAAAATGACTTGGTAATGGTAATGATTGGTTTTGAATTTGTTTCGAAACATTTCACATTTTTCTAAATACTAGAAGTACTATACAAGAGAGGCGTAAGTGCAATCAAGGTTCAGTCATAGTAAAAATCAACCAGTGAGTCCACTCCCACTACTTTCATTCATAAACTCACAAAGTTCTCGGTGACCTCGAAATGAAGTGCGGAATCAATTTCGTTCTTTTACCCCTAGGCGTGCGCTCATATAAAAACGAAATTTAAGGTTATTTTAGAAGATTTTGTGGTAAGTTACTCATAACCAACTACAAAAACTAATGAACTAAACACAATATCAATTTCCCACCGTTTATTATAACTAATCCGATGCCCGTGGTACCGTTGAATCCTTCGATACTACAGCAATAAACGCGTTGGATGAGAATCTCATCCTACGAGCGGTTGAAGGTCCCCGGCAGTTCCGCTTTGTGAATAAGCAATTATTTTTTAGACCTTTTGTAGACCTTTTTATTTAAGGTGTACAATACAGTAGTGCGTTTTTTATATATCTTGTGGGACGCAAAAAATATGTTTATTTACGACATCACATTAGAAAACTCTGAAATTATCAGTGTTTCTCTACTATGTTATGCCTAATATAAACACCTTCTTCTTGAATCACTCTGTCTATTAAGACTGGAGGCATTTGCCCATTGACGCATGAAATCTCGTTATATCAAATATTAACATATTATGATACTCGAGAATGAACACATAGGGGTACTGTTTGATGGAATTGGTCTAAATTCACATATTTAATAGATAAAATATATCAGTAGAAATTAAAATTTAACAAATTGTAGACAAAATAGTTTGTATAGTCCCTTTTACAAGATGTAAATAACAAATATATACAATTTTGTATTTTCGCCCGATTGACTTTCTTGGGCAGAGTGCTTCACAAAAATATAGGGTTGTTCAGGTTTATACCGGGTGGTTCAGAAGTTATAGTCAAATGAATGGTTCCATTCAATACCAAATATCTCCTACTCGATTAAATGGACTGAGGAAAGTATTCAACCGAATATTTTTAAGGATAGTGTAGTTTTATTTCGTCTTTATAAGTTTACCAACGGCGCTTATTCTATACAGGGGTATACAGAACTCAGGATCACTTTTTTCTCAGTATTTCCAAATGAAATACCCTTTACATAGTGCCACCTCAGAATAATCGACAATTTCAGAAAATGTAGGAATTGTCTTTATTATTTTCATTGGAATTACTACTTTAATCTCGAAATTTCGACTTTAATCTCGTAATTTTGAGGAGTAATGGTTAATGGTTAATGACATCATATGAACATCATTAATGTTATAGAGTACGAAATTCTCTATCGATCAGTATACACCTGGACACAGTAGAATTAATATTTATTGAGATATGGAGCTACAAAACACATAACATTAAAATGGACAAAACTTTTGAATTAACCTAATACATTTCCATTAGAACACGACATTTTCAGTTCATTTTCTTATGTACCGTAACAAATTATGCTTTACTTGTATGTTCTATTTTACTTATATGTAGACACTTGTTTCGGACTCTTGATCCTTCATCACTATGGTGCAGCCAAGTGCAAGGATGGGCAACACTTGTGTTTGTGTTTTATAAAATCGTATCTCGTATGATAGATCATATTAATTACTTATGTTTCCATAATTCAGTAAGTTTTATACACGTATTTTGTAATAGCGTAATAGTGTTACGTCCTGTTGGAAAGAAAATGTTTTTTCATACGTACGTTTCGAATGACCAATGACCTAGCCAGCTCCATACCTGGAACTTCGTTTCATCGTGGGAGTGCAACAGCACACAAAATAAGTAAAGCCTCCTTCAATGACCCATTGTTGTTGGTTAATTACCCCGGAGGGAGGTCCAGTGGAAAGCGAATGTTAAACAAAGCGTGCAATTGTGACGTCGTCCGAGACGACTCTGAGTACCAGTGTTAAGTAATGTCGACGTTAATGGCGACTTCATTTGGATCGAATTGAATTTCGTCGACCGGAACGGAGACATTAACTCAATTTCGAAGGTGATTAAAATGGTCAAGGGATAGGTGTCTAGACATTTGTGACAGTTGGCAGAACCTGGTTTATACTGCAGAATGCAACTTCTGTTTAGAAACTACTGAGAGTTGAAAAGGATTGAAAGTCACGATCATGAGTTTTTTGGTAATATCTCTGGTCGTTTCGATTGTACGAATTGGAGTATCGATAATCGCTGTATACCCGGGTAATGCACGAGAAGGAGAAACTATAAGAGAGCTTTCCTGGAAGCACTTCTCTGGTCTTCTCCAAAAATAACA